GATAAGTTAAGGATCTTACTATAGCCTCTTATTTTTGTTTAAAAAAAAAAAAAAGACAACATTCATTCCTGGGATCTGAGGATTATTCAGATAATCATATGCCACATTTGGTTCACAATGAGTGCCAAGACTTAGAGAAGAGCATAATGCTGGGTTCCATTAAAAGCATCCCTTTTCCACTGAAAATTTTTATTTTAGTGTAAATAGCTGGTTGTGCATCTTAGTAGCTGCACCTAGGGGACACAGGAAACAGTCTTTGTATTTACCTAAATGATTACTGCACAAGGGAAGGTGTGTGCAAAAGTGTCAAACCAGGATCTATACCTAAGTGATATTCTAATATGTTTTGTGTAATATGTTTTGTGTTTACCAGTGCGTCCTGAGGCTATAATATACCTTTACCACTCTAGGATTTTTCTTTTAATTTTCTTTTCTTTTCTTTTCTTTTCTTTTCTTTCTTTCTTTCTTTCTTTCTTTCTTTCTTTCTTTTTTATTTTGTAGAAATAGCTAAGTTCAGTAAAGTGACACATGAAAAACTAGATTTGCATATTTTTTTGGAAAGTCAAAGGTGAATCATCAGACTATTATTATTATGGATGATAAAGATGATCCATTATGGTAAAATAGATGTTTTTATAACAGAAGAAAGGTGTGGGTAGATGATGATGATGAATGACAGTGACAACATTGACTTTGATATTGGTCATGTGAGTCAGAATTTCTATGACAGTAAAATAGAGCAAGAATCAACTGATGCAGACACAGGAAACACAGACCTCTATGATATAGATGACAAAGAAAACAGCAATGTTTGCCTAGTTGAGATGTTACAAACTGTTCATACACCTACAGAATGATCTGGTAGAAATAGCTCCAAAAATATAATGAGGGTCTTGGTGAAATGTATTATGACAGAATGCCAGCACTGCCATTCAGTGTTGGGAATTGTAACAAATGAAATGCTACAAGAGGGGCTGGGGAGCTAGCCAGTAGAATAAGCTCTTGCCTGGCAAGCACAGGGTCCTGAGTTCAATCCCTGGTACCGAAAAAAAAAAAAAAGCAGGGGCGCCGGCCAAATAGTTCAGTGGATTAAAGCACCTGTTTAGGCAGACACAGGGGCTAGGGGTTCGATCCCCAGGCTTGCCATGCCAGCCTCGCCCCTGGGGCGCACTGAGAGAGGGATTGAGACTGGGTGTGATGGTACACACTTGTAATCCTAGCACTTGGGAGGCTGTAAACAGGAAGATCACTAGGAATCCGATCTACGCAGTGAGACCCTATAGACCCTGTCCTAAATACAAAAAGAAAAGAAAAGAAATGCTACAATATACTGTGAAGTACACAAAGGATGAAATATGGGTAAAATGTTCTGTAGACACTAATAGCCATATTAAAAGGTGTATTTATTGTAACACCTCACTAGCTGAACTGTAAGCATATATAGGTATGCTGTGCTTAACAGGGATTTCTCATGGTAATTGCAGGAATGTAAAAGACTTATGGAAAAGTGATGGATTAAAATATGGCATAAAAACATACACCTTTGTAGACATGAAGATTTATTATGCTTTCAATTTAGACATTTATCCTGAAACTCAGCCATCAGGTAATAAACCAAATGATGTTGTGAATAGATTTATTGCTTCTATCTTCCAAACTAAATCAGAATTTGATGTTTGACAATTGATTTACCAATTTCCAATTGATGTTACATTTGCTAACAGAGCGCAAGTTGACCAGCACAAGACCTGTATGCAGGAACAAAGCAGAAATTCCATGTAAAATGTTACACTTTCACAAGAGAATTGTATAGTACAACCTTTGGATTTCAGAAAGATTTACATTAGCTTCATATATGGGCAAAGAAAAGCAAAGTGGTACTGCTGATGTCAACATTTCACCATGATGGAAATACAGATAGGAAATCCTTAACAAAACAAAAACTTGGGATAGAAATTTTCTACAAAATCAAAAGGTGGAGTAGATGTTGTTAATGAGTTATGCAGCAACTATAATGTCACTGAGAACAAAAAGCATTGGCCAGTGGTTGCTTTATTTGATCTTAAACAAGTGTGCCACAAATAGTTTAATAGTTTATAAAGAAAATAACAAGTACAAAATGCCATAGAGAAATTTTCTTAGTGGATTGGGACTGGAACTCTTGATCATTTTCAGCAGAGGAAAAACAAAATGTTTCTGCACAGGGAACTATGCAAAAAATTATGGAGCACATTGGTGAGCTGACAGTGAACAGGCAGGCACAGCATCACAAAAACCTTCTACGACAAGAAACCAAAAAAGATGTCAACTGTGCCCTACAAGAAAGAACAGAAAAACAAAACATACATGCTGTCAGTGTAAGTCATACTTATGTATGGAACATGCAATTTTCATGTGTGAAGACTGCCTCAGGTGTGACACTTGAAGCAAATATTGTATTTGTTGTAGGGTTCTATTTGTATTTTCATTGTAGTTTATGTAAGTTTTTATTTCTAATGTTTTAGATTTTGTAAGTACACAGCTGATGTGAAAATAGTGATGTCTGTCTTAAGTACTCATTAGACATTCGATATTTTGTTGACACCTTATTTCCTTGTTAATAGTATGATATAGTATAGCATAGGATGACAAAACAGGAAGCGAAGAATTGTGACAAGAATGGCCTGCCATATAGGAAAGCTAAGCTCATATGTTGTCAGTGTAAGGGAGACATGTGCAAGGAAAATGCAGTTGTCATAAGTGCCTTGGGTATGACAGCTGAAGTAAAGATTATTTCTGTGGTAGACTTTTATTTGTGTTTACATTGTAGCTCTATTTCTGATGTTATCTCTCAGGTTTTGTAAGGAAGTATGCAGCTGATGTGAAAATGTTTGTTTGAAACATTCAGTACATATCATGAATTTTATAATTTATTTATATTTTATGTTCCTCGTAACTACACTTGCATAATATAGTAACAACCTTCTCACGAAACAGCACGACCAGTGAAATGTCAAGTATGTCCTACAAAAAGGTCAGAAAAGCAAAAACACATGTGCTGTCAGTGTAATCAATACATGTGGAACATGCTGTTGTTATATATATGAGGACTGCCTTGGGTGTGCTAAATGAAAATATTTATTTATTTATTTATATATTTGGTCCAGGGTCTTGCTATGCAGTTCGGACTTGTAGTGATCCTTTTGTCTCAGCCTCTGCAGCACTGGCGTAGTGTGCCATCACACCCTATTTCAGTGGCCAGCTCAGTGCAGTGTCAGCATGGCATGTGGTACCGAGGATCAAATCTGGGTCCTTGGTTTTGCCAGGCGGGCACTTAGACACACTGAGCTATCTCCCCAGACCTAGATTTATTTTACTTTTGTAAGAGTGCTATTGGATATTTTCATTGTAGTTTATATAGGAATTTATTTTTGTTGTTTTTTTAAGCTTTGTACAGCAGAATTCAGTTGGTGTTGAAAATTGTGTTTTTTATAAATCTTCAATAAATATTAAAAATGCAGTACTTTATTTTTGTGATTCTTTTTTGGTTAGGGTCTCATAAAATTAATAATTCATCATAAATACTCTAAAGAATATTTACACCTATGGTTATTGGCTTTAATGACATGAAATGTGTTATGCTCTACATTAAACTTATCTTTGTTCAAAATAATGATACCAATAAAGACAGTCATAGTTGGTCCATGTGTCTATCAGACTAAGTAATTTTAATAATACATTATTGTGGTAGAACAAACATTATAGTAGTTTAGTTAGTTTACATTGAAGGAACAGAAGGAAAAGATGTGGAAGAAGATGTGGCAAGATCACCATTAGAAATGGAAATTACAAGTGAAAGCCATGAGATTCCTAGGTGATGCATCTGAGAGAGTGATCACACTGTAGAGACATGTAGTATCGTTTTTCCCTTTTCTGATTATTTAAATTACATTTTATACCAGTGTTTAAACTTAATTAGGTGTTAGCTTGAGGTGGTTAAAGGTTGTTTGGGGAGGGGGGGAGTTTGTTCCAATGGTTTTGCTGTAAAAAGTGTTCAAACTCTGTTGAAGTGTTGCTGAAAAGCATGGTGCTGGTAACAGTTCAACAATCCGTGGCTGCTCATTCTTGCCTACTTTACTCTCCCTCTGAAGCAGGTTAGCATTGAAGGTGGTATGGAAAAGCCTGCATGCGTGTTCAGGTCTTTGTTTCTTCTTCCCTCTCCCTCTGTCCCCTCCCCCCTTCGCTCGCTCACCCTCTTTTGTTCAGTATGTGTAACTTGAAGCTAATTTGTACTACTGGATATCTGACTGGAGCCACAGATACAGAATCTGTATTGTTCTTACTGAAACACAGCATGGAATTAACATTAAACTTAAATAAAACAAACCTAAATTTAAAAAAAAAAAAAAAAGATGTGGAAGATCTTCAAATTTAGATTTTAAATGGGGCAACATTTGAGATAAGTATTAAAGATGTTGTGAACTTAAAAGAATTGTTAAGCAGACTAAATAAACAGTCCCATTCACTAGTACTGTGAACTCTCAGAATGTTAGATTCTTTCCATGCACGTGGATCTATTATATGAGTAACAAATAAATGAACATACATCAAACAACTTGCATGAAAGTGCAGCAAGTAAGAGGCATCACTTAGTAATACAAAAAGAAAACAAGATGCAGAAACAGGAGGCTGGATGTTATAGGGGTGGGCAATGTATAGAGAGGCAACGAACAATCCAGTTTGGTCAGGATGAGGGTCATGAGCAGCTCTGAGCCTAATAACCTGGCAATGTAGACTCACAGTAACACTCTGTCCTCAGGTGGCCACCATGTCCTTGAAGATCCAGACAAGCAATGTAACCAACAAGAATGATCCCAAATCCATCAATTCTCGAGTCTTCATTGGAAACCTAAACACAGC